GGGTTTTATGCGAAAAAGGAATGATAAAAAGGAAGTTGAAAGATACAAAGCTCGCCTTGTTGCACAAGGATTCTCACAACGACCTGGAGTCGATTTTGATGAAACATATTCACCTGTTATGGATGCCATAACATTTCGATATCTCATCAGTTTAACACTACATGAAAAGCTCGAAAGACATCAAATGGATGTAGTTACAGCTTATCTGTACGGTTCACTTGATAATAAAATTTATATGAAAATCCCTNAGGATTAAACATATATTGTGATATTTAAAGGGAACTCTTGATATGGGTTTGTTTTATGCTAACAAAGATAGTGCAGACCTTGTTGGTTATGCAGATGCAGGTTATTTATCCTATCCTCATAAAGCTCGATCTCAAACCGGCTACATATTTACATATAGAGGTACTGTCATATCATGGCGCTCCACAAAGCAATCTATTGTTGTTATTTCTTCAAATCACGTTGAGATAATAGCTATTCATGAAGCAAGTAATGAATGCGTATGGTTGAGATCAATAATTCATTTTATTCGAGAAAAATGTGGTTTGGAATGTGAGAAAAGACCCACAATTTTATACGAAGACAATGCTGCATGCATAGCCCAATTGAAGGGATGATTTATAAAAGGAGATAGAACGAAGCACATTTCACCAAAATTATTCTACACACACGATCTTTAGAAAAGTGGTGACATTGATGTGTAACAAATCCGTTCAAGTGATAATCCAGCAAATTTATTCACTAAATCCTTGCCAACTTCAACTTTTGAGAAGATGGTATACAAGATTGGAATGCGGAGACTCAAATATTTGAAACAAGGTTTTCATCAGGGGAGTAAAATACGCGATGCACGTCTTTTTCCCTTACTAAGGTTTTGTCCCATGGGGTTTTCCTTATAAGGTTTTTAATGAGGCACCTAGCAATACGTCTTACTAAATATGTGTACTCTTTTTCTTCACTGGGATTTTTTCCCACGTGGTTTTTCCTAGTACGGTTTTAATGAGGCACATTATCTTTTAATGAACATCCAAAGGGAAATGTTATAAATATATTATATTATGGATGTTCATTTAGTACTCCGTTGTAAATAAGCTTCTTAAAGAAGCTTATCCATATGGGACTCCACAGTAAATATGTTTATCTATTTAGTACTCTATTGGAAATAAGCTTTCTGAAGAAGCTTATCATTTCAGTCTCCGGTTATGGATAAATATTACCCCCGGTAGAAGATTATCCATACCGGGTATAATAAGCTTATCCTTTCAGTACCCAGTTATGGATAAACATTACCCCCGGTAGAAGATTATCCATACCGGGTATAATAAGCTTATCCTTTCAGTACCCAGTTATGGATAAACATTACCCCCGGTAGAAGATTATCCATACCGGGTATAATAAGCTTATCCTTTCAGTACCCAGTTATGGATAAACATTACCCCCGGTAGAAGATTATCTATATCGGGTATAATAAGCTTATCCTTTCAGTACTCCATTATGGATAAACATTGCTCTCATTAGAAGATTATCATATCTGGTATAGTAGCAGCTTACACAGCAGCATCCTTTCTTCTATAAATAGAAGAGATTTCAGTTCATTATGTACGTCAGTTTGAATTCGAATAATATATCAGTTTCTCTCTATACTTGTCTTTACTTTATAGTCTTTATTTTATAACAAATTTGGTGTTGTAGCAGAGTTCTAAGATATCAGACAAAAGTGGGACCCACTGTCACTGTGGGTAGGATGAGGTTTCTAAAAAGGTTTTCTTTTTCTTTCTTCTAGGGCTTAGGTACTTTTATTAAAATGCCCTCGTAATTTAGGTATGTTTACTGAAGTAGAGAGGGAAAATACATTTGATTATTCTGATTGGTCTATACTAACTTAAAGTATACTGTACTGAGTAATTTGTAAGCCTTTGATTAGGTGCCCTGTACTGTACTGTGTAATAATAAAATAAGCAAGTACAAAATACCATTAGATTTTGACGTACCAACATGGTATTTTGTAGCAGCCCAATTTAATTTTTTCCCTATTCGGAGTTCACTATTTACATTGGGGTCTGACTAAGTGGCATTTGGACATAAGAATTGTAAAATTTTAAAAAAAGGTGAAAAAAAATTTCAAGTAAAAATGGTATTTCAAATTGAGAGTTGTGTTTGGACATGAATATAATTTTGGGTTGTTTTTGAAGTTTTGTGAGTGATTTGGGTGAAATTTTGAAAAACAGGTTTTTGGAGTTTTTCAAATTTTCAAAAATTTCCAAAATGCATTTTCAAGTGAAAATTGGAAATTTTATGAACAAACGTTGATTTCAGAAAAAAAGTAAATTTTTTTTGAAAAAAAGGAAAAAATTTCTTATGTCCAAACGGGCTCTAATTTAAAGTCATATTGAGAAATTTCACTTTGAGAATAAAATGTTTCTTACCAAAGAAAACTTATTTTCAAGGCTCGAAATATCTTTGATTAATAATAAGGGAGTACTTGTACTTACTCATAATAAGGCTCGAAATTAGATATTTCGGTTCGGTATTTTCAGTATTCGATTTCTTAAAATCCTATACCAATACCGTACCTAATTAAATTCGGTATGATTAGGTTTTTCTCCTTTCGGTTTCGGTTTATTCGGTTCGGTAACTTCGGTTTATTCGGTTTGAATACTAACTAGTGCATAGAGTCATACACTCTAATATTCTTAATTAAAGTACTCAAAAATACAAAACCGAAAATATTTTTTGACAAAAATATTTTTCAAAACTAGCAAATATCGACCCAAATATAGAAAATTCTACATAAAAGAATATTTGATCATTAGAAATATCTTGTTACTTGTTTAAAGTTAATTGATGAACTTTGAGAATAAAGGAAAGTAAAATTTTAGATTTTTTATATTTATGTTATAATTAGTAATATGTGTTTTGTGTAATATAATATATATTTCGGTACAGTATCAGAATTTCGGTATTTTATTTTAAAATACCAAATATCATACATGATACCAATTTTTTTTTTAAAAAAAAGCTTAAACCAAATACCATACCAAATACCAAAATACCGTATACCAAATATCAAAATTTTTGGTTTCAGTACAGTAATTCGATATTTACCAAATTATGCCCAGCCCTAGTTGTAGCACAGCTGCACAAGGACTTATAAGAAAATCCAAACAAACCCCAATTTTTTTTAAAAAAAATAAGTTTGATGAAATTGTTAACTTTAGAAATCGTACCCTAGTGGACCCCCTTTTATATATTAAATAGGCGTTTGGACATTGATTTGACTGAAACTTAAAAAAGAGTTTTTAATGTTGTGTTGAAAAATAGTTTTTGGAAGTTGAAATTATGTTTGGACACGCATTTTACTTAAAAATATTTTACTTATGTTTGAAACTTGAAAATTTTTCTTCAAATTTTGTTAAAAACTGATCAAATTTTATAAATAAGTAATATTTTCATTTTAATAAATAAATAAATAATATTTATCCCAAACGGGAGCTTATCGCATTGCTATTTCAAATAGTCAAATAATTTATTCTTTGTTATAATTTTTTGCATATTTTTTTTTTAAATGCGCTCATTAACTTTTGTGATTAATAGTAACTTTTGTGTAGCACTTAGATACATAACTTTCATTTTAAAATAAATTAAGAAGTCAATGTTCAATTTCCAAACGAAAATTAGTTGGTTTTTATTTTCTTATTATGAACTAATGTTCTTTTGGGACACATGGTGTAAAATTTGTGAAATGGACTTTGAAAGAATATTTGCAGCACTAAAACATTGTAACTTCAATTGCATAATATTCTGAATTACTAATAATCTTGAGCTCTATCTTAATGAAAGCTTATTAGTTGTAGATTGTCTTGAAACATTAGCTTGCCTAGGTAAATTAGACCAATTGATTTGATATTTAGCTAAACAATAATCTTGAGCTCTAATATGATTTTCATTTACTCACACTTAGTTGGCGAGCTATATTTTCTCTAAATAACTAAAATCTTGATAGTGACTTTTGACCTAAAAGATGAAGATAAAAACTATTATTAAAAAAAAGACGAAATAATTAGAATGGTTGGTTCACATTTTAATTATAGGTACTAGGTAACAAAATAATAGCGTTGCTAATGGCAGTCAAAGGTAGGTTTCTTTTTTTTTTTCTTCTTCCCAAAATGGAAATTAGCATGTATCTCCTCAATTTATTTCAGATTAAACTTTTATAGAAATTTCAAACACATGGAAACACAAGCAAAAAAATTATAATTACACAAATATTATTATTTATTTAGTCTAAGCAGTCCAACATAATTTTATGTATTACACTCAACGCCATATTAGGAATTAAAAATAAAATAAAATAGAGATTTATATTAGAAGTTAATAAATACGTAAGTCAGTTTGAAATTAATTTTTAATAATAACAACGTAATAAGATTCCACAAATCATGAAAATGATATAAAGTTGGTAGGATACACTTTGAGCCAAAAAAAGAGATGCGTACATTACCAAAACTACCCTTCCTTTTTTAGCAGTGTTACAGAATTTACCAACCTAAAGCTAGGTAGTCACAGTCAAAAGTTGATTTCTGAATGGACATATTATAAAGTTATTGCTCCTATTTACTTAAGTTTGTTCATCTCTTTTGACTATTCAAACAAAATTTATTGCGAAATTATTAAAGTAATAATCTTTAAGTCAATGGGTTGATCAAATAAATGAGCTTTATATAATCCAAAATGTAAGACTTAAAACATATAGTATTTTGAATCTACTAGATATAAGCAGTCAGCCTGGATAATTTATTTTTTTGCAAGTCTTTTCTGTTTTTATATTTTTTTTCCTAGGTGCTGGTCAATTAAGATTTGACAATATCAAATAATTGGCATATGTGCAGGAGCACACTGAAAAAAGAAACGAACTTAACAGAAAATGTGAAATGCATCATGCAACTCAAATGCATATACAACTTTGATAGGTGAATAAAATTTGAATAAGTAAATATGATTTCAATTGGCCATTTGAATTTCTTTTACCATGGCCACTGTGCTCCTGAGATTAATGAATATAAAAGAAAGAAAAGTTTGTCAACTTCCTACCTCCCTGAGAACCAGTACTAAATGAGGTATTTATACATAGCTGGAGGGAGCTACCTGAATAGGCTAAAGGATAGTTAAGGATGGATAAATTACTTGCAATTCTCATCTTCCAGGGCGTAAACAACAAAAAGGATATACCAATTTTGAAAACAAACAAGAATACATGTCTAATTTAGGAATGATAAGGTTGTACAGAGCTAATGTAAATGAAGTCCTTCATGATCTTAGATTTATAAGAATTGGGTGGCTGTATATTGTTTGAGGAAAGCTAGGCTTAAAGTCCTCTTCCTTATGTAATCGTGTTTAAGCATATAACCTTTTCCACCCAGAAACCAAGCAGGGAAGTTCCTTTACAAAAAAGACCGCTATTACAAAATGGTGAAAAACTAAATATCATCTTGAACAGGGAACTGCTTCGATCATAATTGAAGACTGGTAAAATCCATTCAAACCATCAAAAGAAGAATAAGATTAGAGTAGAGTGCTAGTACAATATAGGAATGCAAAACAAGAGAAACAAACTGTTTAAATACTAATACCAAATTGGCTCGAAAATAGCATTGTGTGATATATATTTTTTTTGGGTAAGTAGCATAAGTTCCTGTGTAATTCTAATCTTGATGCTCTTCTCCCAAGCAATCCATAGAATCTCAAGCAACTTGACGTGCGATGTTATCAATTAGTTGATCTATTAGTGTGCCTAAAACATAACAACATTCATATTAAATTTTACATAAGTCACCTCACGTCATTGTTACAAAATGAGCTTAACTAATTAACACATTGGCTTTATTATCTCACATATTTATATTATTAACTCAAACACTCAAGATTATAAAAAATATCACGTGAAAGCATTCAAACATCCGAAGATTGAAAGAAACACATATCCTTGCATTAAAAGTTATCGCATTGAATAATGAAATGTCAGCCTTAGTATCTTGCAATATAGCTTTTAAAGAATCCATTTGGAACCCCAAATTTTGCCCCTTCTTTAAATAACCTCAATTGTTTGTTTAAACGTCACTTCACCAAAATAACTCTCTCCTAAAAGAACTTACATGTAAGCCAAATCAAAAAATTATCCAACAACTCAAACTTAGGATTACTGTTCACATTTAGTTTAACTAACACAAAATTAATTGAAAAGAAGTGGCCTCATGCCCTTATCTTTTGTTCAAAAAAGGAATTCACAAAAATGCTACAACCAATAAAGAAGGTAAAAACTGAACCATATGTCTAGAAGTCTTGTTGATCAAATATATATCATCAGATAAGCAAAATAAAGTTAGATATAACATGCTCAACTAAACCTTTGCCATTCAACACTTTTTAGCTACTTTTTATATAAAAAAAGGAAAAGAACGCCAGCAACTAATGCTTGTTGCACCTGAAATTGGTACATCCTAAACTCACACATAATTCAAGATAAGTCGAATAACTCCAATTGAGGATTGATTACTAATATTTTTTGTCTAATGACATAACAAAAAAGCTAAAAGGCTCATACCATATGTAAAAAGTTATCGCATTGGTAAAAAATTGACAATATGTTTTATATTTGATGCATGTAAGGTGTATTCATTACCGGAAGCACAAAAAAAGAGTTGGTTTACGAAAGATAAAAGAGACTGGAGATCCAAGAGCAAACACAATAAATGATTGATAGGCTTATCTCTAAAATTAATTGCCACAACAAAAACAGAAAGAAATTTAAAATATATGCCTAATCTTCGTGGAAAAGTTTTCTAATGCTTCTATAAGGTGGGAGTACTTTAAACATACTTGTTCAAAGTATGCGAGAATTTGTGTCTCAACAAACTTCATACAATAGAGGAGCAGAATGCTATGGCTTTTCTGCTGAAGCCACTGGATATGGCGGCAAAGTTATCGGTGATGTCATTTTTTACTGCACGCTCTACCATTTGACTGTGATTATAAAGCTCATTTGTTTATGTACAACATTCTAACATTCCCAATTTAGAATCTTATGTAAAAATTGTAGAATCCCAGAAACTACAGAATCATAATTACCAATTTATAACCAAAAAAATAAATGCAAACACTTAAATTAATCAATTACCGTTCTGAAGCAAAGTTGGACCTTTAGAGTAAGCTAAACCCAACTTGTGTATTCAAATACTTGGTTAAGAACTCCATGAATCGAACTGAAATGTCAAGCAACGCCACTTTAGAGAAACCTAATGACAGAAATGAAGCTTTATTTATTTGAGATTTCACAAATCAAAGACGAAATTTACGTCTTAGGAACAAAAGAAAATTCTAGAAAAACAATGAGCGAAGAGTTTGATACAGAGAGAGAGAGAGAGAGAGAGAGAAAGAGAGAAATTTTTGTCACGACCCAAATCGATGGGCCGCAACGGGCACCCGGTACCTTACTCAACCGAGTACCAACGTAGCGTATCTTTCTCATTACATCATTATATACACGTGACATACGGGCCTAGTAGGCCAATATAATCATTTATAGACTCAAACATAGGCCGACAAGGCTGTACAATCTTTTACGTATATGACATATGTCTACAAGCCTCTAAGAATACATAAGTGTCATAGAGGTAGGGATAGAGTCCCGCCGTACCAAGCAATACACGTTTAAATCATACTAACCAAACAAGCAACTCCGAAGTAAATGGAGCGCATCAAAATCTTCCGCTGAGCTGATAGCCTACTTGGAGGGCTCTCGACCTGTGTATCGGAACCTGCGGGCATGAAACACAGCATCCCAGGCAAAAGGGACGTCAAAAGGGACGTCAGTACAAATAATGTACCGAGTATGTAAGGCACATAAGTAAGTACATCAGAGACATGAAGAAATATAGAGTACATGACTCAACCTGCAAGTCTGAATAACTTTGTAAATTATAAATTACTTTTAGCGTCATGCATGTGCGAATGAATGTCATGTCGTGCATAGGTACATGTTTCATAACGTCATTGGCCTCTGAGGGCATTCCATTATATCATACCAACCACTGTGGGCAAAATCATCTTCGTATACTAGCTGATCAGGTGGTGGTGCGTATATAATGCCATAATCTTTTCCATATCCCATATACATATATTTACATATATACGCGTATATAACGCCGTTTGAATCATATTTCAGCCACTGTGGGCAACATCATCATCATATACCAGCTGATCAGGTGGTGGTGCGTATATAACGCCGTAACCTTTTCCTATATCCCATATACATATATTTACATATATAAGCATATATAACATCATCTGGTCATAGGTCAATGCACATGAATGCAGTGCATAAAAAGTACGTCAATAAAATCATTCGGAATGTCATAAGACCATTTTGTCTCTGAGTAATATCATAAAGTAAAATCTTTTCAATTTTCGTATTTTTCTGAGACCCATGAACAGATGATAAGATATTATAACACACGAACATTCAAGAACACAGATATCTCTAATACTTCTATGAATAGAGTCATTCATGGAATTTGTGCATTTGCACGTTCCGTTCATATCGTATGGATCATGCCAAAGAAATAAGGGATAGCCTTAACATACCTGGAGTAGGGAAAAATACGTATTATATTCTTGAAAAAGGTTGCACCGTACTCCCTTAGAATCACATAATCTCATGTTGCTAATGTGCCAAGAAATTTCGTTGGATGAAGAAATTACGGTGTACTGTTCTTGTAGGAATTGTAGGAATTTTTGAAGAAAATCACGTCTTCGGAAGAAAGACTTGGTAGTGTTTGTCCATCCATGATTGGTTCTCCAGATACATGGATCCACCTTGATCACTTAGTTTTTCCATGACAAGAGCATGGATGAATGATTGCAATATATCAGTTGCCATTGAATCCTTACGAGTAATAAGGTTGCTAATATCCCTTTGTTGTTGAAGTAAATACTTTGCTTTCTTGTGATTTGATCCAGCAGATTGTAAGAAATAAAGTTCTGGAATTGAAAATCTTGGTAATCTATTAAGTTGCCACTTAACCAAAATGGATCAAGAGTCATTTGGTTGAGAATTACCTTGCTGCCACGTTAATATTTTATAAGTCTTATCCAAAAATTATCCACTTATTAGTTAACTGGGTAATGTACTGTTACCCAGTAATTAATTAATTACCTGCTAAATTGAGAATTATTCCCACTTACTTGAAATATTACTCACTTTTCACATACCTTATACACCTTACTATTATGGTCTTGTGGTACCTCGCATGACACTAGTCCATAAATATCGGGTATTAACGCTCGACCCGAATTCTATTCCAACATATCAAACTTGGACGAAAATCATTTTATTTGATTTGCTTACCCTCTCGCCTTCACGAATTTACTTATAACTTGTTTGAAATAACATAATACTTAAAAACTCAAAAATAATCTCATTCACGAGCTTATATCAATTTACTCATGATGTATTTTCATGTACGAAAACATGGGTGTGACACAAAGAGCCCAAAATGAGACTTAAAAGTTAATTCGATGTAGTAAAAGAAAAGGCAAAGCAAATCAATAGATGTACAAACAGAACTATAGTGAGATGTGAAATGGCAATTTTGCCCTTGATCGACCATCTCCTCTTTTCTATATAATAGATAAATAAGACTTATAACCTGAGGGGTCGTTTAATTAACAATGTAAGACTTGTAAATTTGCAATGCAAAAATGATAATATAGGGATTGAATAAGTTATGCAGAATCTATATAAAATTTAGAGGGTGGACAGTTTTGCTTGAGGAGTTTAATTTGTTTTGAGGAATCTATATCTGAGGGGACATTTATGGAATATGATCAATTTTTTTAAACAAAATTTTAGTTCTCAAAAATTGGTCTAAGGCAGTGTTTGGGTGAAAATTTTCTTCCACTCATAAAATTTTAATTTTTTTTCAAATAAAATAGATATTCAAAAACAATTTCAACTTTAAAAAACTCATTTTTTCAAGTTTTAACAAAATATATGTCCACGCGCTAGCTAAATTACTATCGAAGAGAAGAAGTAAAAAAAAGGCAACAACTTGACTATTTTGGAACAAACTCCCATATTAAACAAATTAAATTATACAGTAGCACTGAAAAGTTGTCCACGAGATGTACAGTTCTGACCTCATTCCCCACTGTTTTGTTATCAAGATATATTTATTCGTACATATAAAATTTGTAGAGGAGTGATCCTTAATTAAAAGTCTTCGATCAATCAAAACTGAATATAGAGTCGTTTTTTGTCGGAAGTATTTTACTCCTAATTAATACTCATCTCCTTTCAATTTAAATGATGTACTAGTTTGTTTTGGCATAAACTTAAAAAAAAAAAAAGATTTTTTAAAATATATGGTCCTAAAAATTTATGGGGTGAAAGCTTTATGGCTATAATATTTTGTGAATATAAAAGCTTATAACTAATAATAAAGTGGATAAAATAAAAAATTTAAAATAAATTATTTTTAATTATAAAAATATATCATTCTTTTATCGGACTAATAACCAAAATATCTCATTTAAATTGAAACAGAGGGGAGTATAAAACTGGCTGACATGATTCCATATTTAATTAGCCGAGCCCCAATAAAGATTGAGAATGGAAAAAAAAAATGTTTATTCCCACTGCATTAATGTCTGATGTAACTCGATAGCCCTTGGAGTTTGGCAAATCAATAATAGTCTCACATGTTCTCATTTTCCTTTAGTCACTTATTTCCAGCAAATATTACTACATATATCCTACTAATTTATAAGATTAAAATATCCTGCACACTTAGGTTTGAGTTCATTGTAGGAAGTACCTCCCAGTATAGAATATTATATTACTCTTTTTACCCATATTACGACTTTAAAAATTGTTGACCAAGTCATTAAATATGTCAAATATACTTATTGTGTCAAGTTTGACGGTGAAAAATAAATAAGTCAGTGAAGGAATTATAAGCACCAGATTAGAAATTGTATGAATTTCAGCATATCATGCTGGATCGGTATATTATACTGGAATTTCAGTATATTATGCTGGAGTTCCAGTATACGTATGCTGGAACTCTATTATAATATACTGAAACTCCAATATGGCCTGGTCGACCCAATCATGATATTGAAGGAGGGGACCTTTTCTCGAAAAAAAATTCTTGCAACTACAAAAACCACAACACAAGCACCCCTTTTCCATTCATTCTATCTAATAAACATTATTTTCGTTCAGATTTATCTTTACATGAAAAGTAGTTAAATTTTGGTTACTTTTGAAACTGTGGCTATTTTTGAATGATCACTTTTAAATCTAGCTATTTTTGAATTTCTCCCATATTTTCCTTTTATCATCTTACGAAACTCTCATTGTGGCCTTGTTGGTTGATTTTGATTAGTAGTTTAGCTTGTGTTTTACTCAATCTTTTGATAAGTTGCTCGTCCTAGGCCTATTTTAACATTTAAATTAATATAAAATATATCACTCATCTCGTCTGTCGAAGTTTGGATGGTTTAGATTTTTATCAAAATTGACGTCTACTAACCATATTTATAGGACCTTTGTGGACGTACAACAATGTTACTGAAGTGCCCTTTTTAGATTAAAAATAATAAATAAAATTACGGCTTCGAGCTCCGAAAATGAAGAATTTTCAATAAAGAACGTTTTTCTTAGATGGATCATGATAATACATGGTTGTAAGCTTCAAATTAAGAAGGGAAATTTTGCAATAATAGTAAAATTATTTCCGTGTGATATATAAATCACGATTTCGAATTGTAAAAACAACCACTAATGCTTCTTTACGATGAGGTCTTTCATCGACCCCTACGCGAACATAATATGCATTGTGCACCGATCTATCCAATAACGAATGGCTGAAACAAAAAACACGAGAAAAGTATTTACTACTCGAAGGAGGCCGCAAATGAGTTACTATTTGGTAACTGTCGTTCTCGGAATTAATGCAAAAAAGACGTAAGAGATTTAAAAAAGAAAAACAAATAATCATTTAATTCACCCCAATTTTACCCAAAAAAATATTGGAGAAAAATTTGCAAATTGCACCACTGCTCAGGCAATAACTACTAAAAATAGATGTAAAGAAAATTGATCCATAAATGTCACGGCTCGTTGTTATTGGTGAGATATTTAGATAATTAGATAGAGGCAGCTGTCATTATCGACATATTAATTAAGAAAGGCAAAATGGTCTCCTGACTACTTAAACTTGTACCGAATTTTAAAGCCGATATATAAACTTTTGACTTTCCCATTTTAGCACCTCAACTCAACCAGTTGATTATAAATAAACCCTTTCTTCAGAGCGTGTAGCTCAGTTGCCTGACAAAAAGACCACGTCAAATAATAAAGCCATTTATTATTTTACACGTGTCATCAGGGGTCCTATTTTTTTATAATTAATTTATTAAAATTTCCTTCTTATTTTATTTCTTTCATTATTCCTTCTACACCTTTTAGAAGGAGCTTTGCTTGTTTACAGAGACGCCGCGGGAGCTTCGCTAATTTGAAATTGCTTTCCTTCTACACCTTTTGGTTACGAGGGCATATTACAGAGATGCCGCAAGAGCTTTGCTTGTTTACGATGTGACTAAAAGGCACACTTTCGAGTGGTTGTCGAGTTGGCTTGAAGATATACTGCAACAACGCGACACGACAGTAATAGTGGTGGGGAATAAGTGAGTGTGACGCTGG